GCCAACGCTCATTATATCCCCAACAATAATTGGGTATTATTTTCTTACCATGTTATGAAATTAAACTAATATCTGCCCTAATTCTGTTAATTTCATGCGGCATCAACATGTTACACACACTTCGTCCATATGCAAACAGTTTACAAACACCATCCCCATAGCAGTTCCGCGCACCTTTTCGGAGTCCCTGTTACTCAATTTTATTTTTTTTTTTCTGTTCACCATTTAAAGCTATTATCTTTTGAAGGCGATATTTGTTCTTCACCGTTACTAGGTAAAATTCGATTTCATTCTTCTTTCAAATGCCCTGCGATAAAGTCATCCGATTAATGTCAGCAGCGGCTTCGAGCAACAGCTATCAGTGTCACTGCCATTTCAATGACAAGCAAATGTTGGGATAATCAACCACCAAATCCATCATTTATCAACCGAACAGGTGACATTTGACTGGGTTCGGAAGGCTTACACGCTAATGTCATGTCGAAATACTCAACAGATAATCCGAGATTGAAGCGGCTGAATAATCGACAATGAACGTTGCTCGTCGGTAATGACGATGTCTGCCCGATGATAATGATGTTCAATTTGCTTGTTATTGTCTGATGTCGCGAGTCAGCCATGGCAATACAGACAGACAGACAGACAGACAGTTGTAAGGCAAATCAACAGCCGCAGCAGCAACAACAACTCTATTCGCCAGGGAATGAGACCACCTTCGCAAATGAACTCGAACAAGTGCTTGAAATGCACGACGTTCAGGCAGAAGAACATCCGCCACGACGATATCTTGTTGAACAGGAACCAACTGAACTGAACCTGGTGCACAGAATCTAAGAAGTCAGCCATGTTAAGCTTCGAGCTACTGCAGCACGACTACTCGTACTAGTATTGCATTCAATCGTTTCCATTGATAATTGTTAACATTTGGCTAAACCGAAAAAGGCAAGTTCGGTAAAAAGGCAAATCCTGCCACGAAGAAGTGTTATTGTTTATTGTAAAGGTAAACAACGGACGACGTCCGCTGTGTTTTTCTGCCAAATTATCTGAATTATTTAAAAATTAGGGTGTCAAAATTTTATTTTAAATTTGTTTATTATTATATCTTTCCCAACATACCAAAAATACAATACAGCTTGAGAATAATATTATGAAAATAGTTTATCGTAAGAATTTTTCAACAATGCTAGAGAAACTCTTTTTTGCACAAACTTTTCTCAAATCTGTCCTTTGTTGACAAAATTGTTTTGATTTTTTTTTTTTTTTTTTTTTTTTTTGAGAAATTTTTCGACAAAAAATATTTTCTTTGGTTAAAATCAAAATCACGCGAATTTAGGACCATTTCCGGACGAAACTCTAAGGTAATGATGAATAATTATTCTGGGAATCTGTAGTATATATTATTTCAATCTCATTTCAGAATAGAGGCGTCAAAAGTTGCAAGAATTCAAGAGAAGTGAAGAATTAGTGGAGGAGATGCAGAAGCTCAAATAAGGGGAAAGAAAGCATCTAGGACCAAGGCAAAAGGAGGCAGTGAGAGTTGGGATGGCCATCAATGAATGAAATGTGTAAAATAATTAAAAAAAAAAAAAATTAAAAAATAACTATTTTATACCATTGAAAAAATAAGCTTGATATAATATTGCTTTCGTAAGCTTATTCTACAATTACAAGAATAAGCTTATGAATAAGGGTTCCGTTTCGATTATTCTATAATTGTTAAACAAGCATTTCTCAATACATTCTCAAGATTTTCTCAAGCTTAAGGCTTATGTTTGTAAGCTTATTAAAATATTATTCTCAAGTCAATTTGGTATTCACAATTGTGAATACCAATTTATGTATGTGTATTCTTTTCAATGTAAAAAAAATGCCCAGAAAAAATGCATCGACAAAATCTACAGGTTTTGTAGCGAAATAAACCTTTAGAGATATATAGAAAATTATTTTGAAAATAAATTTTGACCTTTCATTCAGTTTTCACGGTTTTCAATTATTTATTCAAAATCAATGCAACAAGTTGTTTGGTTTTTTCTCTTTATATCTATCTATCTATCTATCTATCTATCTATCTATCTATCTATTTATCTATTTATCTATCGACCCAAAAGGGGTCAACATTTTGACTGATCATTAAGCTCATAAAACGCAAAAGTATCGTTCGATTCCTTTCAAAATCGTCACATATCAATATTTCTATTCATACAAGATGTGGCGTGAAGATGAGATATATCGATCCACTTCTTCTGGTTCCTCACTCACAACGGGTCAAATTTTGAATATAAAGGGAGAGATGAAAAAACTGCAACAAATTTCAGACTGCTGCCATTTCTAAGCCACTCTTCCGACAGCTGTTAAAATTATTCCACTGACAGCTCATTATATTGTTTAGAAGCGTACAAAAGCATTTTGGTGAGACTTTTCCAGAAAAAAAGTTATACGTGATGGAATTCAAGCGTGAAAGTGTGATTTCTTTATATTTGACTAGAGAACCACAAATGGCTATCGGTAGAGCACTCCAGTATTTAAATGTGAATAAATCTTTTGTGTCTCGTAAAGTCGCTCGTTACCGTGATACTGGTAGCGTAGCCCGACGTCAAGGAAGTGGACGCCCATGGCACTCAGCAAGCTCCGGATACCAATCCGTTGGACTATTGTGTCTGGAGTATTTTTGAAAGCAAGGGTGGCACTAAAAGTGTCGATCACCTCAAGCAGCGTGTGACAGTTTCATTGGCCGTTTGAAAAATACAAAAGTGTCGATCACCTCAAGCAGCGTGTGACAGTTTCATTGGCCGTTTGAAGGCCATAATTCGTGCCAAAGGTGACCAATTCGAACAAATATAAACTTGTTCTAAAATTTGATGCTATTTCCGACATTTTTTGCTTTCATTCAATAAGATGTAAAAAAGTGTAAAAATTATGGCGTTTTTTATCTCACCCTGTATAGACGTTTCATCCGATTGTGTCTTTAAGTCCATTACGCCCATTAAATGTTCTCCACATCAACGATATTTGGTGCCAGCTATCAGATACGACATAGAAACAACTTCATGAAATTTTATAGAGATAGGTTTAGATGTAGCTCCCATATATATCTTCATCCGATTTTAGATTTATTGCGCCCAAAAGTGTAATATCGGCTCAGATTTTAATGAATCTAGATTTCTACACCATGAAATTTAGTAGCAATTGATGCACAGGACGATATACCTCCCACATGTTAGTTTCTTCTTTTAAATCACCATACTATGGAGGGTATATTAACTTTGTCGTTCCGTTTGTGACTCCTCGAAATACTCATGTCAGACCCAAAAAAAGTATATATATTCTTGATCAGCGTAAAATTCTAAGTCGATTTAGCGATGTCCGCCTGTCTGTTGTAATCACGCTATCTTTCGAACAAATGTTTATTTTTCCAGTGGGCCATGTAGGTCTACGTTTTCATATAGCCCCCATATAACGGTACCTCTCGATATTCGGTATTTTTATGATTTTCGCTACATTATTCACCGGATTTATTTCAAATTTTGGTATTTGAAGTTCGAAATGGATACTACCGCCTAAGACAGAAAATTGTCTGTGCAGGCCCACGTCTACGTAGAGCCCTCATATAACGGTACCTCTCAATATTCGGTATTTTGAAGATTTTAGCGTCAATTTTCACTGGAATTGAGTCAAATTACGTATTTAGAGTTCGTAATGGGAACTACAGTCTCTGGTCGAAAATTGTCAATTGTCAATCCAGATCTTCGTATAGGCCCCATATATCAGTACCAGAGGGCTGCAATGAGTATGATTGAGTAGGCTTGATCACACACAGTGGAAATACAATCAAACTCAATCAGTCGGTCAGATGCAACATGTTCATTCGAGTTACTCAAGCCAAACGAAAAAATTGTGATCAAACATGTATTGATCGAAGTTTTGTGATCGCAATCAAACAGGTCACATGAGTTATTTGTTTACGAACTTATGTTGAATTGTTCATAACGGGTCGATCATCTATGATGAGTCTGATCGGTTTTATATATCCTAGTTAAGTGAGTGATTTGATTTGATTAAAACACAAATGTTCGAATTTGAGCGAAATCATGATTGCAATTTTACTAAGGATTTCATAACTAAAAGATGTCCCCATTAAAGTAATTGGTACAAATTATATTTAATAAGCATACAATTTTTCATTTTATTTGGGTTTTTGGGTATGCTAGACTTCAGTAACTTATTTGAAAAAAAAAAAAAAACAAAATTAATTTTTTTTAATAAAGAAACACATCATTGGTATTTAGAAAACTAAAAAATGTTTAAATATTTTTTTTATTTTACAATATTGGTCAAGATTTTTCACAAACTTCGGCCTTTTCGTTTACCTACACCTGTGTAGTTTCTACTTGCAACAATTTCGGTCGCACTATGACAATATTCTTCTATTTCAAATATTAAAAAAGTCAAAATAAACTGTCCCAACTTGATTAAATGGTTGAATAAACAATGACGTTGAGCGAACTAGATTCAAAGAAGACAATCACGGTTCTGATTGCTCATTTACATTCATGTGTTCGATCAACTCATGTTGCTGAACACATCAAACCGTCTCGAACGCTCCCCGCTAGCAACATGAACTAGTTCGGCATCGGAAACTCGTCGATTCTCAGAGTTACAGTAACTAGTTCCACTTAAGACCCCTCACAGTGCAAACAACTGTAAACTTTAACATGGGGATGTCATACGAAGTAACCAATTGGCTCCCTTTGCATTACCTGTAGATGGTACTTTACTAGTTCCAGGTTTACAGTCATATACCAGTGACAAAAGACTAACCCTTACCAAGTTCCAAGTACACAGCCACAGACTAGTGTCAGCAGACTACCTTTTAACTAGTTCTATGTATACAGTTATGTACTAGTGTCATTTGACTATCCCTTATCTAGTATAAGCAGACCAATTTTAAACTGGTTTCCCATGAACTAGTTCAGTACCAATTATTGTTAGTGAAATTCTAATTTTTAGTTTTAATTCATTTTTTTATTGCAAACAAATGAATACAAATATACCTTACTCTATAAAACTTGAACAAAAATAAATTTAATTTAATATTTATAAAAGCACTTGTATTGCTTTTCGCAGTTGTGTTTCAGGGGTGTCCGAATATTCTGTAACTGGTATTGAATCTGCAAAAAATAATGTTTAATGTATGAAAATGTAGAATATAAAAATAATGTTTATATACACCTTACCTAAAATAACGCTGTATATATTACTTAGGGACTTCAAACTTTTTTCCATGGTTTCCCTCAATATTATACTCGTAGTTATATTTGAACCGATAACATTTTTAAACATTTCGATGTTTCCTCTCCTTTTATAATTGATGCTATAATCTTTACCTAAAAATTAACAAAAATTGTATATAATCTATGTTTGTTCAGCAATACATTTAAAAAATACTTACATATATGTATTGATTCTCAATATTTTTCATAAGTGATGGGGAACCTATTCGATAATGGTATCTCATCACTTTGAGATCGTAGCACCATCACCTTCAACTCAGCTAAAGCATCAGCTAAAATTTTGATTTGACCTATAGTGAAAACAAACAAATTAATAATTTGTAACAATTCTGAGAAGAATGCTATAATTTTACCTTGAATTACTTTTATTATTATTTTATTACTATTATTACTTTACTCATTCTTACCTTTTTATTTGTTATTTTCAACACTTTATAACTTATTTGCACAGAAAAATGATACTTCACTTCACAACGATCAGAATAAGAATGCTTTTTCCAAACAAAACGCACTTGCATTCCTCAAGAATAACGGTGCATTGTTTTTTTATTGGTAATCTAAAAAAAACTATTCAAAGTGGTTCTTGTTCGTAGAGATCTCATTCAAATGTTCGTTTGGTTTTTTCGTTGTGGTTTTTATTTATGCACAACTGTCGCTTCTTTGCATTACTTGGGGACGAAAAGGTGTCAATTGGTTACCTTTGCATTACTTGGGGACACATTTGGTACTAGTCCGGCTTATATCTAGTATAGGACTGGTGAAATTGAGTTAAATGGAATTTTCATTGCCAGCGGGTCATGTTTGATTGTGAGTGAAATGATTCAAACTGAGCATTCGATTCGATCCGAAGCGAAAACGGTCATTTCATTCAGATCAAACTAAACGACTGCATCAACAAAAATCATGTAAGAAGCCCTCTGATTAGTACCTCCCTATATTCGGTATTTTGACGAGTTTAGGTACAATACCGACCGAAATTGTTTGAGATGTCGTATTTGAAGTTCGTAATGGATGCTACAACCTGTGACAAACAATTGTCTATGCTGGTCCAGGTCTTCGCACAGCTCCGATATAACGGTACCTCCCTATATACGATATTTTGATGATTTTAGCTACACTATTCACCGTTTATTTCAAGTTTCGAATTTGAATATGATAATGGCTTATGACAGACAATGCCTATGTAGGTCCACGTCGTATAGACTCCAATATAACGGCTATATTCGGTATTTTTTAAATTTTAACAGAATTTTTTAAGGATTTTTTTTTTTGAAAATTTCCAAATTCGTTCCAAGTGGTGGAGGGTATTCAAAGTTCGGCCCGGCCGAAATTACTGCTTTTAACTTGTCTCTATTCATTTGTTGATGCTATGCATATTTTGATATTGAATCGCAGTCATATCTGCTCTTATCTAATAATAATAATAAGAATATTTTTTAATTATTTTATATTTTTTATTATTTTTAATTACTTTGGTATTCAATTTTATATTTACGCGGTGTTTGTTACTTCAAAATTACAGCACACACAAAAACACATCCTCACCGTCGAAAGTAACACACACACACTCTCTCAATTTAAGCACACGTACACAAATGACACACAATCTGACGATGACATGGTTCGATGTCTTCGTCGACACCCTGCATTTATGGACAACACCATGCAAATATTCGAGTCAGCCATGCCATGATCGAACCTTAGACAATGGCACACATTAGAGCTGGCAAACTATCGATAGTCGCACCATTCGATATTTTCGATAGTTTGTTGGAAAACTATCGATAGTATCGAATAATGTGGGAATGCCAATATTAATTTTTCAACAATGCGCGCAACTTTTTTTTCATTGTTCTATGTTATTAATTTGTGTGTTATAATTATTTTTGTATTATGGTTTTTGTTAAACTTTTGCGATTTTTATTAAAAATAACTACTAACAAAACTCATCACAAATGTAATAACCATTCAAGTCAATATCAATAAACAACACCGATATGTACTTACATGTATTTTTAATAACGGACTCAATTATATTAAATGATCTAATGATTAATATTTTTCTATTAAGAAACGCTTAAACAAAACAAATTGACATAAAAACAAAAAATATTTGGAATTCATTATTACAGTTATTATATTTTATTAAAATATGTACATATAGTAAATATTAATTAGAAACTATATTTATAGTCAAAAATAACAGACAATAACGCTTAAACAAAACAACAACATAAAAACAAAAATATTTGGATTTCATTTTTATAAGGCACTTTGAGATCAACTTTTACAAAAAAATGTATTTGCATGTAGTAAAAATTAATTAAAAATTATATTTATATTAAAAATTAAAAAAAAAAAAAAAACAGATAATAATGCTTCAACAAAACAACTAAACATAAAAACAAAAAATATTTGAAATTCATTATTACAGATACATTCAGATCTTATTTTATAAAAATATTTAATCAAATTAATTTGAATTTAAAATTATAATGAAAATTACCTTGAAAAAGGTATTACTTGTTTAAAAACCTTACTTCTTATAATTCTTTACTGACCCAACAATTTTTGTTAACAAAGAGCAGCATATCAATATTTTTTGGCTTTAAGCTCGATCTTCTTTCCGAAATTATGGCTCCGGTTTTGCTAAACATTCGCTCAGCCTCTGTCGAAGTTGCTGGTACGCATAAATAGCGTAAGGCACATGACTTTGTGAGTGACATTTGGCCAGAACAATTCTGAAAATTAACATAACACTACGTAAATTTGTTAATAAATAGTTTTGTATTATATTATTTACCTTCCAGTACTGTAATGGATCTATTTCTAATGCTGCATTTTCAAAATATTGCCTAAGAGAAATGATGGCGCCTACTTGATGTGATCTTACTTTAGAGGCAATTTTATTTCCTACGAATTTTAAAAGCGGTGGCTGCGAACTTTGATGAATATTTTTAGAACATGATGGTTCTAAATTATCTTGTTCCATGGTGTTGTTTTTGTTCATACCACTCAACACGTTTTGTAAAAATTGTGTTCCTCCATCTGCATTGCTTGGGAAAAGAAAACCTTCCTTCTTGAACCGAGGGTCTAATACTGTTCCGAGTCTTGTAACTGTACGCTCCTCGTAAGGAAATAGTCTTTTCTTTATTCTTTCAAGCAGAAATATACAAGCTTGATGGCCTTCTGAAGTTTTCATAGTACTTTTTAACTCATCAAGAGATTTAAAAATACCACATGTTAGAGGAACTACTAGGGAAATAGTAACAGCTGCACTTGACGATGTTTGGACTGTAGCGGCATCAAATGGCATAAGCAATTGTTTAAGGTCCTGCAAAAATTCTATATCGCCTGCCGTTAAAGGTAGCGGTGCCTTTGGTGTCATTAGCAGTACATTTGAAATAGAATTATTTGTAGTGCTCTCCACCATTCTGAGAGCAATGTTCCAGCGGGTCGGTACCTCCTGTTTTAGGCTGTGGGGCATATCTCTTCCTTGGTCCGCTTTAAACTTTTCGTAGGAAATTGTTCTGCTCTTAAAATAGCTCACAATGTTCTTACATTTCCCTAAAGTAGTTTTAACATAATCTTGCGCTAAGCAATCTTGCAGCACAAGGTTAATAGTGTGTGCAAAGCATGGCAGATTTCGTTTTTGAAGCAATTCGCACGCTTTCAACATACTTGGTCTGTTCCAGAACTGCAAGGATGTTAAAGTTTTTACTACGATAACGGATTTTTCCTTTATAATATCGAATAAAATTTGAAAAATGGTAGATTCTTGTAGGTTCTGGAACAGAGCAACTGCTAGCATTATCGCTGACAACTGCCACCACTTTCTCCATTAGACCCCACAAATCAAAGTTGATAAATTAACAACGCCGTTTATATAGAAGATATCTAAGTCGTTTAATTAACAAAGTTGCGCCTCTAACTGAATAAATGCCGGAATCCGTTTTTTCAACGATAGTATCGCTATCGAAAAAAAACTATCGATAGTCTAGTGAAAACCAAACCATCGATACTATCGATACTACTATCGATAGTTTGCCACCTCTAGCACACATGAATCAAAATGGGGGATGTTGTTGGTTGTCATTGCCTATCAAATACATAGAGCATGATTGAATAGACAAAGTCAGTGTGTCGAAAAGAGCATAATTCATTCAATTCGTCTTGTGCTGGCCTTTAGTCCGGACACTTAAAAATGCAATAAAAATAAAACATTACGAAATATTCCTGATTTGATGGCGTATATCAACCTTATTTTTATAAACATAAACCTGAGATGTTTTCCTTCGGCTTTCCCATTCTGAAGCAGGGATACATTAACAAAAGTACATATTTGTCTATATTTCTCGCAGAACTTTATAGTGAAATTAATTTTTGTATTTTTCCCTACATAAAATAAACATGTGTATGTATGTACAATATATTCCTCTATCAACAAACTCATCATCGACAAATATTTGACAGTGGGTTATGTGAACTCAGAAACTGTCTTTGGACCACAAAAGATGTGTGAAGTGAAGGAAGTCTGGTGCATGTATGTGTGTGTGTGCGCTTGTGTTTTCGTGTAATTTTTATTTGTATCTATGTACCCCCACACACACACAATTCGCTAGAAATGCTGCTGCACACCGAGTCCAAGAGACGAGAATCGCTACAACAAATAAAGAAAAATGTTTTATGTCGACCGCAGCACAGGCCACGACCGGCCATTTGCAAAGTTGACGCAAAAGGACCGATGAGGGGCCAAAGAGAAGCGAGAACATAAGGTGAACACAAACGAATGATAACAACACACAGCCGGCAAACGGATGGATGGATAGATGGATGAATGAGCGAACGGACGGATGGATGGGGCCACGACTTTAGCACATTTGGTTCGATTTTATTTTTAGATGCGGACTGATTTTGTGTGTCGATCGGTCGTTGGGAGCCAAGGTGGTGGTGACTTGACTGCCTGAACTGCGAGACATTTTACTGCCTGAATATTTGGCACAGACCAAGTGACTAATAAGACACTGCGACGGAATGCTGGGAAATTCTGTCGTTAACCTACTAGCTATCAAAATACTTTTTGATTTATCTGCGCTATTTTCGGTTGACCTCTATGAAGATCTCTATCGATTCGACGCATATTTTTTAGCCAGCGAATTTCTTAGGAAATGTTGGAAGGTAAGACACTTAATCCAACACAAAGGTTTATGTTTTCCAATCGTTTGTAACTTCTCAATAAATAATATATGTATTTTGATTTTAATCAAATTTAAATTTTGATAATTTACTAATAAAGATTTGTTCACAAAAAAATCCTAGTTCAAAAAAAGAAAAAAAAAATATAATCTTAAAATTCTCTAATACGAACGGACATGATAGCTACATAAGAATGGCCATAATACAACGTGGATATTTTGTGACAAATTTGAGTAAAGGGGCCTTTTAAAGGGGTAAATACATTAGAGGATTTTTATTTTTTTGGCATAAGTCAGCGACTGGCTCTCTGGATTTACTTTCACTAAATCGAGTGGATTTCAACGGTCAATTCTATTGCGTATACGTCTGTACTGTAATCGACTTTCAAATTCAGTGGACTTCATTTGACATATATGCAAAAGAATTGACAGCTAAAATCCACTGGGTTTGTTTTATGTGAACGAAGTTAAGCTTAAATAAAAACCAGTAAGCTAAGTTAAAAAGTCGGGCGGGCCGACTATATGATACTCTACACCACTATGTGTATTTAGTACAGCTCCCGTAACAAAAAGAGTTTATATTTGCATAATTTGGAAAGTATATCCTACTCTCAATAAATTTTCAACAAATTTGACGGAGGGGTTTGTGCCTCTGGTACCAAATAATACAGGGTTGCCCATATTCAACGGACCCATCTGGCAACGCCATAACTTTTGACAGAGATGTCACATCGCTTAATGACATACCGCGTTTGAAGCGTCAGTCCAAGCAGATTTTTACCATGAACCAATACACGCCACGCGAGCGCTCTGAAATTTACATTCAACAGAAGAAGTCAATTGTGAAAACTCAACGTGCTTTTAAAACATTAAAAAATGTGAGAAGTGCGCCTTCTAAGAACACCATTAAGTATTTATACGAAAAATTTTCGACTGGTAAGGCTCTTTCTAATCCGAAGAGGCCATATAAAAGTCGACCAAGGCGATCGGCCGAGAATATCGCTGCCGTACGAGCCAGTGTTGAGAGGTCCCCAAGAACATCCCAAAAACGCCGTTCTCAGCAGTTGGGCATGGCTCGGTCCACTTTACAACGGATTATTCGCATTGATTTGCATTTGTTCCCGTACAAAATTCAATTGACGCAAAGAATGTTGCCTGCGGACAAGCCTCGTCGATTGGAATGGGCCCAAAGGTCCGTCGAATATGGGCAACCCTGTATTGCTGTATAGTGCATGGTTCGACATCGAGAGGAATTACATTTAAAAATATTTATTGAAGTAACAGTTATACCGGACCGAGTTTTGCCAAATAGAAAAATTCGGTAGAATATGAGAAATCTATCCAATTTGGGCAGATATTACAAATATGGTTGACAATAACGGTAAAATCGAATGAAGATATATATCGAAGGTATATAAAATCTAAACCGATCTCGATACAATTTGGCAGAGGTATTTTCGAGCAGTGTCTGATGCCCGGTATCAAATACCATTGTTGTGGAGTGCATAATACGCATGTGAGGGACTTTAACGCCAAATCGGGTGAAACATACATATATAAGAGCTAGAGCTACATCATTAACATTTAAATGCTGGAGTGCTCTAACGATAGCCACTCGTGGTTTTCCAGCCAAATATAAACAAATCACACTTGAATTCTATCACGAATAACTTTTTTTCTGGAAAATTCTCACCAAAATGCTTTTATACGCCTGTAAACAATATAATGAGCTGTCAGCTGGAATAAATTTAACAGATGTCGGACGAGTGGCTTGGAAATGACAACAGTCTAAAGTTTGTTGCAGTTTTTGCGTCTCACCCTGTATACCCTCTGTAGCCATAGGGTATAATGAAATGATGTGGGAAGCGATTTCATTGCATTTGCTGAATTTAATATTAATTGGGTTGATATTATGCACTTGGTGCAATCGAATTCGGTGCATATATTGCGCTTTTGGGACACCATACGCATAAAATGGAATGATGGGAACCTAATCAATATCTGAACCGATTTCATTAAAAATTCGCAAACTTAAAAAGAAGATATATATAAAAGCGATTTCTTTCAGTTTTTTTTTTTTCAGAAGTATTTCTTACCTAAATTTAGGGACATTAGCACAATTCCATTCTGATCGCTATTGCGTATTTAGTGCGCCAAAAACTTATCATCAACGAATTTTCAATAATTTTTGACACACTCTTGGCTTATCTAAAATCCTTCCGATTCGGACTGGTATAACGCATTTGGTGCACAATAATTTTGAAATCGGACTACACTATATATTTCTTTAGGGTTCGTCCTTGGGCCAAACAAATTTCCTGTGTAAAATTTAATTCTTAGTCGAACCATAAATTTGACCTGTGTTTTGTTCACAAAAATACATAGACAGACAGACAGACGGACGGGCGGTCATTCATAAATCGACTCAAAAAGTTATTCCATGTTACAAACAAATGTACAAAGATATAATACTCTGTACCAAAGTGTGGTGTGGGGTATAATTATTATACCCTCCACCATACCCACCATAGGGTATATTAACTTTGTCATTCCGTTTGTAACTCCTCAAAATGCTCATCTCAGACCCAACAAAGTATATATATTCTTGATCAGCGTAAAATTCTAAGTCGATTTAGCGATGTCCATCTGTCTATCCGTCTGTCTGTTATAATCAAGTTATCTTTCGAACGAATTGAGATAGAAGGCTAAAATTTTGCACACATATTTATTTTGCCCGTAGGCAGGTTAAGTTCGTAAATGGGCCATGTAGGTCCACGTTTTCATACAGTCCCTATATAACTGTACCTCCCGTTATTCGGTATTTTATTTCAAATTTGGTATTTAAGGTTCGAAATAGATCCACAGCCTAAGACAGAAAATTGTCTGTGCAGGTCCACGTCCTCGTATAGCCGCCATATAACGGTACCTGCCGATATTCAGTATTTTGATGATTTTATCGACATTATTCTCCGGAATTGTTTCAAATTTTGTATCTGAAGTTCGTAATAGATACTACAGCCTATGACAGAAAATTGTCTGTGCAGGCCCACGTCTTCGTAGAGCCCCCATATAACAGTACCTCCCAATATTCGGTATTTTAAAGATTTTAGATTTACTATTTCAAATTATGTATTTAGAGTTCGTAATGGGAACTACAGTCTGTGACAGAAAACTGTCAATGCAGGTCCAGGTCTTCGTATAGGCACCATAAATCAGTACCTCCCTATATTCGGTATTTTGACGATTTTAGGTACAATACTCAACGAAATTGTTTGAAATGTCGTATTTGAAGTTCGTAATGGATGCTACAGCCTGTGACAGAAAATTGTCTATGCAGGTCCAGGTCTTGGTATCGCTCCGATACAACGGTACCTTCCTATATACGGTATTTTGATGATTTTAGCTACATTATTCACCGTTTATTTCAAGTTTCGAATTTGAATATGGTAGTGACTTATGACAAAAAATGCCGATGTAGGTCCACGTCGCATAGACACCAATATAACGGTTATATTCGATATTTTTAAAATTTTATCATAATGTTTAACGGATTTTTTTTATACCCTCCACCAAAAAAAGTATGGAGGGTATATTAAGTTCGTCATTCCGTTTGTAACTCATCGAAATAATCATTTTAGACCCAACAAAGTATATATATTCTTGATCAGCGTAAAATTCTAAGACGAATTTTACGTCCGTCCGTCTGTCCGTCTGTTGTAATCACGCTACAGTCTAAACGAATTAAGATAGGAAGCTAAAATTTTGCACAGATCTCT